CCGGGCTCTCCCCGAGCAGCCCCTGGGGATATTGCACACCTCATTTGGCGATGATCGGTTACCGCGGGCTTTTATTTATTTATTTGTTTGTCCCGTTGTTTGTTTATTTACCCGTGTATTTGGTAAGGCTGCTTACGGCTTGTTGTGAGTTAGGATTTTTTTTTTTTTTTTTTTTGTTCCTGATGGATTGGGGATTTTTGGTCGTTCTTTCGTTTTGTTTCTCCCGTCCCTTCTCTTTTCCGCCCTCCCACCCACTCTTCTCGAATTATTTTGTCCTCCCAGGAGTTTTCAAACACCGCCGGTGAGGGAAGGGGGGAGGCGGGGGAGAAACACGTCCTTGCCAGCTGGAGGAGGGGGCCCTGCTCGGCCGCGGGCTCCCACTGTGCGAAGGTGCCGGGGCCGCTCGGGGTCGTGGCAGGGAGAGCCCGGTGCCGCGGGAAGGGCGGAAGGTCATACGGGAGCGGGGAAGGGATGCAACGTTGCAGTCTCAGGAGAGGGAAAGGAGCTGCCTCTTTCCTTACCTGCCCAAGATCTTGCTGACACAACCGTGGCTGACCCGCAGCTGCCTGGAAATGTCACAGGGTCGCACCCCCTGGTGAGCCAGCTCCACTATCCTTTGTCTCACCACGTCAGGTAGGGGCCTGCCGTTCACAAACACCCCCCCGAGCTGGTTCACACCCCCGTGCCCTGCTGGGGAAAGAGAAATAAAAAAAAAACACAACAACCCACGCACACCAGAAACACACCGTTAGTCGTGGATTCTTAACCACTCGCACTGCAAATTCTCCAGTCATTACAAATGGATGGAGGTGATGGCAGGGGGTCGAGAGTGGGGAACAGGACGTGGGGAAGCGATAGAAGATAAAGAGGGAGAAGGAGAGAAAGGAGCTAAAAACAGGGAGAATGAGAAAATGAGAGAAAGAGATAGAGAAAGAGATAGAGAAAGAAAGAAAGAAAGAAAGAAAGAAAGAAAGAAAGAAAGAAAGAAAGAAAGAAAGAAAGAAAGAAAGAAAGAAAGAAAGAAAGAAAGAAANCCCCGGGAACGGACGGGAGCCCCGCTTTGTTGTCACTTGCGGCCCAGGATCCTTAACTCCCTTATTTAACACAAGCACACACGCCTTGCTAGTTTCACCTCCCTTCTCACGCTCCGCGTTTTTTTACCGGAGACTTTACTCGGTGTAAAGCGGGACAGGAGGGGGATTCGATACACATCAAGGCTTCCGTGGTGTGCGGCTTAGTGTGGGAGAAAGAAAGAAAGGAGGTGAGGGGGAGAGACGGAGGAAAAGAAAAAGGAGAGAGACAGAAAGAGAGGAATGTATAAAGAAGGAAAAGAAAGAAATATAAATAGAGACCAGACAGAGAGAAAGAACGAGACAGAACGAAAGAGCAAGCAAGCTTCTCGCACCTCTTTAAACCAAGAGATTAGGCCCGTTTCAGTCATTGCAAAGTTTCCCCTCACATACATTTGGAGAAATAACAGCAAATCCAACCTCACACTTTCCACATCTCTGCTGCTTCTCTCCCTCTCTCTCTCTCAATTTTTTTTTTTTTATGTTAGAGGGGGATTTTAAAATTATTTAAATTATTTTACAAATAAGTCTTCTTATTGTAGCAGTTTATTACTGCTAAAATAGACATGGCTTTGACTTAGCAGAGAAAAATAGAGCAAGTAAGAAACACCTTCTTAGGGTAATAACCAGGGGCAAAAAGGCAAGACAGAAATTGCTGCGAGCTCAATTTTGATTTTCAGATTTGAGAGTTTGCTATCACCTGAAATATACTTCCTTCTCTTTTCTTCCTTCATTCTTCCCCATCCCTCTGCTTATCTGTCACAAAACCGCTCCCCCCCTTTTTTTCCCCTAACCGCTTTAAGTAAAGAATGTCTGAGAGATCTTTATGAAATATTTTTCACTGTCTCATAAATCATTTTGGCACTTCAGCTGATGTTTTATCTTTCTCTCTCCTCTCTCTCTTTCCCTTGTGTGCAAAAAAAGGGATGATTTGGAAAAGAAATTTTTTTGTTATGCCACGGGGATTACATGGAAGTGAGTCCTCGGTGACTGCGGGTTTGAGCTGCGGGCAGGCGCGGCTGANTTTTTTTTTTTTTTTTTTTTTTTGTGTTTTTTTTTTTCCCCACCGTACAAATCTAATTCATGGAGAATTTAAATTCTCCGTTTTCTTCTGTTCCCCCCTTTTCAGGCAAAAACCTGCTCTCGCTCAGATAGCACTGCTAGGATGGCTTTTTTTTCCCCCGATCTGTCTTTCTCCATTTCTAGAAATAACTTGGGGGGGAAAAAAAAAGTATGCACCTGCTAAGAGTGGACACGAGAAACGGAGTGGCGGGGATTAAGGGAAATATCTCCTTTTGGGACGCAATAAGACAGTTGGTCGTGAATCAGACGTGTACGTTCGAGCCGAGAGCAGCTCGCCGTTGCCAGGGTATGGGGAGATGCCCGCTCGCAGGCGGCACAGCTTCGCTGGCGCTGCTACCTGAGCAGCGGAATATCCAGCTGATATAGCTGTGCAGTGCACTCTGTATTAAAGCTTTCCTTTCACACAACCCTAACCTCCAGTATTTTCCTCTCCAAGAGATCTTAGTTCGTTTTGCAGTTTGCTGAAAAATGATCTGTTTGTATTTTCGTTGTGGTTTTTTTCTCTCCTGCTTCTGACACTGACTTATTGGCTCTGAACTTAGTGGAAACTCTCATTGCCCTGCGATCGATCCAAGTCCTTTCGTACAAATAGAGTTTTTCCCATCTCCCCCACCCCTTCAGTAACACCTTCACACATCCCCTCCCAGCCCCACCGGCCGGGGCGCCCGCTGGCTTCCCCGTCGTTTCCCGCTGAACCGGGGTTATGTTTTGCATTCTTTTGTTAGTCTTTTTAAAAACATATTTGGGGTTTCAGAGGGGACGGGGGATATTTATCTTCTTCCACTAAAACCCGCGGGTATATATTGTTGTGTTATTCCTCCATTTGTTCAGAACCCCTTCTGCACATGTTGCCTCTAAAGTTACAAGATAGCAATTTCTTCGGCAACTCCACGATAAATAATTCAAAGCACCTATTATAACTCGCATTACAAAGTATTAAAGGGCAACAGATGCAAAAAGATTAAAAATTAATAATTCAAATTATTGCAGTCCGGATATTTTTCACACGAGTTTGTTTTGTTCTGCCCCGTGGTTTTCTAAGATTCTTTCTATCAGAGCAGTCAGATATTTACGTGTATTTATCTGCATGTGAGTGCCGGCATCTGTGTGTGCACAGGCTCAGTCGTGCCGCTGTCGTACCGATCGTGTGTGCTGTCTGTATGTCAGAGCCTGTGCCCGCATCTCTTTAAATTGTTTAATAATATCCAGGTCTGTAGCTCTTGAAATACACTTTAGGAAACGAATCAAATGTTGATGGGGTCTTATTGTTTTGTTTAGATTTGGTGTTCTTTTCCCCTAGTCGGAAGCCAAAAATTGGTCGGGAATCTCCCTGGAGTTTTTAAAAAATCAGCGACAGTGAAATGCCTCTTTGGTCTGCTGACATGTTTCGGATCGTACTGGAGCTGGAATTACTGACATCACGTCTGGAAACAGATCGCACCGCTGAAAACTAAAAACAATGCCTAAAGCACGGGGTGTTTGCTGTTAAAGCTCTTTGGAAATCAAACCTCACATTTTAAGCAATGTATTCTGGAAATCAGTTATTAGGAAACAGAAAGGCAATTACCTACATCCGCGTTTGGGGATTTAATCTTAGGTTTGTATTTCTGCACCTTCCTTCTCAAGGCAAAATCGGGATTTTTTTAAAGTTCAAGCATTTCCATTTTCTATCTTTTCGATTTGTGTTTTATGCAGCGGGCAGGGCGTGTCCTCAAAAGTTGCGGTGTCAAAAGTTACAAATTGCTCTTAATTATTCATTTCCTGACTCAACATACTCTCAATCTCGGTTTTCTGTTTGTATTTTTTCTTCTTCAATTTAAATCTCGGAATTATTGTCTCTCCTGCGGTTTAATTAAAATCACTGGAAATTCCTTGTTACATTCCCTGGTAAAAGAGGCTTTTCACGTTCCTTAGTCCCCCTCTTAAGAAAGGCTTTTAAAATTGAAAATGTATCACGAATGCCCTTTCCTCTGTAGCAGGAATGTATTTAAAATTCACACCGGGTATCTGGTAAATAAACTAGGAGGGATCGTGACTTCTTGAGAGCCTCCAAAGCCATTTCATCTCCCTGCCATACAATTGTCCTATTTTTTCCCGCAGTCCAACCTTTCGCCCAACGAAAACGACTCACAGAACAGGCACCGACTAACCCGCCATTAATTCGAAACTGGCGTCTTCCCTGTCTGCCACCGAAATCCAAAATCAAAGCAAAGAGCATCGCATCGCGGGGAAATCTGGGGGGTTAAAGCCGCGGAGCGTTGCGGGGAGTCCCGGCCCGGCTGGGCACGGACAGGGAAAGGGCCCGTCCCAGGGGCTGGCACGAGTGAGTCAGAATAAACTCTTGTTGTCTGAGGGGCGATGGGGAAAGTGTATTTGCGGAGCATAGCTCCGGTTCGGAGGGGGCTTTCCCTGGCGCACTCAGGGCACGCAGTGCAGGCACAGCAGCGCTCAGACCCCTGCCCTCGGACTGGGGGTGCTGGCCCCCGCCCCGCTGCCGGCACGGAGCTCTGCTCCCCTCGGCTCGGGGCTGCCCGGCATCCTTGCTCTGCTGCTCGGGCCGGCAGCCTCTGTCCTGCCTCCTGAACGCCTCTCTGAGCCCGGCATCGGCCAGGGTGAAAAGGTGGACCTGGAGGAGGATCAGGTGAGGAAGGATGGCTGGGGAAGGAGGAATGAAAGGATGAGAAAGGGACAGCAGCGGAAGGAGCCGGGCTCCAGTACTCACGGTGCATTGCTGAGAAGGGGTCTGCTTTGCAGTGCATATCCATGGGGAGGCAAAGGAAGGGGAAGAAATCGGCTGAAGCCGCCGTGTCGCCTCTAAAACTCAACTTCAAGACTTAGGGGAGAAAAAAAAATGAAAAAAACAAAACAAAACAAAACAAAACAAAAAAGCACACGAGGAGAGGAGGGGAGCGGCGGGATGCGCTGGGCCCCCGGCCCGGCAGAGCGGGC